CAGGCCCATGGGGCTTCCCTCCCATGCCGTATGAGTGCAGGGGCTGCATGTGCGTGGCGGGGAGTGCCGGCGATAGAGACTGCCCAGTGGAGGCTGCGCCCTGACGGCATGAGTGCCCCCGCCTGCTGCTGCCGCACCCTAAAGGGAGTGTGGGGGGGGTCCCATATCTCCCCACCTTCCCTCGCACTTCACAAATGCCACACACCCACACCCTGCCCTCACAACTGTCCACATATACACAACCCCCCAACGTACCCTATTGCCCCCCACACAGCCACAACCCTCACAACCCCCCTACCGCACACGCACATCCCCAACCACCCCCCACAATATACAAGACTACAAATATGTGCGGTCACTTCTATATACAGTATGCAAACAAATCATAACCAAAATATTTTTTGTAATGAAATTAAAATATGTTATAGTAGGTGTTGGACTTTTAGTGTATGATTTGGTTTTTTTTCTGGTTCTAAGGTGGCAACCCCCTCCCAAAAGGAGTATGGTGGGTGGGGGAGCAATGGGAGGGACTTCCAGTGACAAAGGTCAGGGGTTAGGGGGTGAGACTTCTGGTCCCAAGGTGGCGATCAGGGGGCAGGGCAGCTGTCAGGGGCCAGGGCTATCCATGTGGCCCTCAACAGCTCACCAAAACTCATTAAGTGGCCTTCTGCCTGAAATAGTTGTCCACCCCTGCATTGAATACTTGCTCCTTGACCACCAATGAAAGGTTCTAATGGCAACAAAATTGCCTGCTGTGCTTGCTTGCTGTCTCTTGTAAATAAGAGAGTGGGGTCACTGGATGGCTTCTGCATGTGATTGAAAAGATGACTAGTGTAAAATTTCTTCTTGTGGCAATAGAACAGAAAAAGTAAGTCGTTTTTGCTTTGTTTTTTTCTTTAAACAGTCTCGAAGATATGATTCCAGAACTACTATATTTTCTCCAGAAGGTATTTTTTGTGAATGGGAATGAATCACTGGACCCTTCACCTTTTTCTGAAAATTAAATAGCAGCTAAACTTGTGAAAAGCTGTCATGTTGGATGTTTACACTTTGTCTGATATGTCAAATATTACTTAAATCTGGTTTTCACATTAGGAATAACACCCAAAACTGTGTGGTCAAAGTGGAGCACTACTTTCAATTTTTTGATTTAAGAACAGAGGCATTAAAGATCCTTTGCTTGATTGTGATTGGTTGTTTGCAGTATTTGAAACCTTCCCAGCAAAACCATGAGAATTTCCATACAAGAATAGACTCAAAGTTCTGTCCAAATATTAGCCTATTTGGTTTTGTCAACACTGACCAGTGCTGAACACAGTGGAGGACTTGGGGGGGGGCCTATGGTGAATTTTAGCGTGGCTGTAGCCTACCCCATAGCCCCCCTCCCAGCGCTGCCCACCCCGAGCACAGCCCCGGCCCAGTACCCCCATCAGGAAGAGGTTGGTGCAGGCCCCAGCCCCGAGCCTGCAGCGGACAGCCTGTCCTCGCCCCATGCTCAAATCTGGGGGACACGTGTCCCTTTGTGGCATTTCCCCAGGGGTGTGCACAAAGGTGGGGAGCCCCCTTTGCCCCCTGGATGAGCTGCCTGCAGCACAATCTCACGCCCCACCCTGCCCTAGCTGGGCAATGCCTGCCCTGGTCCCATTCTCTCCCTCACTGTGGGGGCCTCAAGCTGCCACATTCCTTCCCTCCCCCATGCCCCTTCCCTCCAGCCGACTTACCGGCCAGATGCTGCTCTCTAAGCTGCTGGACTACATATCAGCAATTGGATCAGTATTGGCCAATATGGTATTGGCCAAAAAAGTTTTTATCGGTGCACCCCTACTACATAGTATAGTAATTGCTGCTTTTTAGGGCTTGTTTATTAGAGTGGGAGAGGCCTAATGTAAAATAAACTAGGCATTGAAGCCTGGTAGTAGTTATGGACTGAGTAAAGGCCAAGTCGCTCTCTTAGTGTGAGTTTATCCGTTCTTGACAGTTTAATTGTACCCCTTGTTTTCTAGTCACTGTTTTCTGTTTGGAAGCTCTGCTTCCTTCAACTGTTCATACCAGCTTATTTTGTCAGATGCTGCTTTTGAAAGCGTGTGCTTTCTCTGATTTAGTTAGTCTATAAGGCACTAATCCGCCTTACCTTCAGCTACCAGTAGCAGCCATAGGACTTGTTCCTAGGATGGGGTGATCACCATTTAGCTTTTAGTAACCATTGGTTGAGCATGCTTGGTAGTCCAGTTTGATGTTACCAGGACTGGTCAAAGATAAGGGCTGAATTTACTAACTGAAACTCTTTTTCTAGGTCGCTTATATCAGGTTGAATATGCTATGGAAGCAATTGGACATGCAGGCACCTGTCTGGGAATTCTAGCAAATAATGGTGTATTGCTTGCTGCAGAGAGGCGCAACATCCACAAACTTCTTGATGAAGTCTTCTTTTCGGAGAAGATATACAAGCTTAATGAGTAAGTTGAGATGCTGATGAATCTTTCTCTGCTTTTATCAGTAATAATGTATTTGATTATCTTTCTCTTTAGCAATCATTATTGAAACTAAATCTTTGAGAGATTTTAAGTTAATCTTTTATGCTCTTAGCCAGTGAGATTATTTTGTTAGCTGTAACTAGTAGTTTTGCTTAAAAAGGAAACTTCAGATCAGGATTACAACAGCCCTTGCCTTTAATGTAAGGGTTATTCCACCTGGGAAATAAAATGTAGAAATGTTTCTTTTCACTGAGAGTTGGTATTTGCACATACAAGTTGCTATTGACTGTGTCAACCTTAAAGCCAGACACTGTGTACCTTATTAAATACCATGGAAAAAGCAAATGCTCAGGCAAAATCACTTGAACGGAAAATTGGTGTGCAGAGTAGTGCCCTCTGATTCTTTTGCTTCTCAAATTACCAGATTGCTTTTCAAATATATTTTACTCTTTTGCTGGTTTCCCCTTTCATTGATGGTAACTGTTGCATATATTGTCTTCTATTTCCATTATTTCATTTCTGTTCTGTTTTTAATACTCAACCATTTTACACATTTCTGCAATAACATTGCATCTGAACAAAACAAAAAACAGTTTTTTTGCCTTTTATGTAGACTGAATCCTGTATGTGTTTAAATGTTTTCCCCATTGATACAAACATAATGTGCCTTGGATTTCTTTGACATAACTATAGTAGAAATTGTGTGTTCACTTGTCAACTTCTACTAATTCCCTAGGACAGGGGTGGGCAATATATTGCCAGCTGATTAGATCTGACCCATGGGTGGGCCCTGACCAGTTTAATTGCTGTGTCTGCTGTGTTTGGCATGAAGTTGAGCCCCATGCACACTTGCCCGGGATAGCGTGCTGTACTTCTACCCTTGCCTGCTGGAGGGGCCCTGGCCCTAACGCCAGCCCCGGCTAGTGTGCGCAGCTTCTGGGTGGATCTGCTGCTGCTGCAGCCCTGGTGAACTTCTTTGCTCCCCCTGCCTCGAGCAGCTTCTCCTCCTGTCCCTGCTGCAGCTCTGGGCAGCATGTAGGGAGGTTAAGTGGTGGTGTTGCTGGGACTGGCGGGGAGGGGGAAAGAGATGACTCTTCCTGCAGCTTGCTGCCCTCCAGCCAGCTGTGAAGCTTTTTGAATAGTTAGATGCAAAAGGTATATGCAGGAGAAGGGAAGAACCCGATGCATGGCAGCACGATGGAGGCAGGTGGGATGGGAGTGGCAGTAGCAGTAGGAGTGAGCTGCAGCTCAGCCATGCGGGCATGGGATAGAGGCCAAGGGAGCAGTCAGCACCAAACTTGGCTCTTCCCCTCCCCTCTCCTAGGAAGCAGCCAGGCTTCCCTTGTTGCCTGCCAGCTGCAGCTGCTTTCCTGCCCCTTTGCAGTGCGCTAGTGCTAATTTTTTTTTCTTTTCCCTTTCCCCCCTCCCCAACCTGCAGATGGGTTGGGCTCAGCCAAGTTAAAGAATGAATGGGGAGAAGGCTGGTTGGCTCCTGCCCCAGTGCATAGGGCTCCAGCTCCTGGCCACCTTCCACCCATTCCACCTGCCTGGCATGATCACCGATACCTGCAGGCGGCCAAGTGGGTGGAAGGTGGCCCCTTCAGGAACCCAGCCACACCCTACCATACCCACACACACAACCCCCCCCCCAACTCCCCCCACACCCTACCATACCGCCACACACTCACATCCCAACCACACACCCCAGCACACGCACACATTCACACACCGCACTTTGCCCCACATACCTGCCACACCCTCCACATACACCTCTCTACCCCCTACACACACTATGCTAGAATAAGACTTCATTTTCAGCTATTATGCAGTTGCCTTTGTATATACTACAAAAGCACATAAATCAGGACAAAAAGATTTTTTAAAATAAAATTGAAATATGTTACAGTAGATGTTTGATTTTTAGTAAATGATTTGGGTTTTTACCTATACTTTGTTAAAATGATTTCTTCTGAAGTATTTTGTGTATGGCCCTTGATTCAGTTGATTTGGTGCCATTCTCAGGGCGTTTTGATGCTCCTGAAAGCTCCACTGATTAGTTGAGGGTGATGGGGCAGGTTGCTAGAGTCACAACCCCTCACTACCTGATAAGTTATGCCTGGCAGAACTTCTGGGGCCTCGGGGACAGGCCATGCACCATGAGGGTGGGCCTTGTGGAGGGGCAGCATTTCTCAGTCAAGGGGTGGACCTTCGGATGTCGGGGACCATGTGATAAGGGTAGGGGGTTCTGGAACCAACATGGTGGTAATTGGGGCAAGGTTTGGTGGCAGGTGGATGGGTCTTATATCGTGGACCATGTGACAGGGTGGGACTTCCAGTTCCAAGATCGCAACCCTGTAGAGGGACCCAGCCCGAGCGGCCACACTGGGGTGGAGCCCATATGTTGTGCGCTCAACGGATGTCTCATTCCCCTATTTTCATATCTTGCCCGCCACAACTTGGTGTAACCAAGCAGCCCAGTGTCAGCATACATTGGCTGAGCTCGGAGGTCTTAATCAGGTTCTACAGTCAGTGGCGCCTGGCCTGCATTAGAAAATGAATAAACTAATATAACTTAAATAATGATATTTGTTCCTGCTTCAGGCCTTGCCTTGGCCCAGCTGCATATCTCGTCCATGTTCCTTCAGGCGGTCGGGGCTCTTGAGGGTTTGCCCTTGCTATGAGCCCAATCCAAGTGGGCTGGTCTGTCCTGAGTCAAGTCCTTCGGGTAATCTGGGGCCATGGGCATTACAAACCTCTGTGGAGCTGCTACAGATACCTGCCCTCGAGCAGTTGAGTGGCAGTCAGAGTTCTGTAGGGAGAGCCAGTGTTGCACTGGTCCTTGATCCCAGGTCCTTGGCTCTGGTGGAGGGATGTGATGTGGGTCAGTGCCTACGCTGGTGTTCCTCCTCTTCCAGGGCTACTGTCTTATGTAGGGAGTTCTGGATTGGTCTGGGCTAATCCAGATCCCTGCCTGCCTCCATGTGTCCTGCTGCCATTGCCACCAGATGTTGAGAGCCCCAGAGGGGCTTATCAGCCTCCGCCCCTGCAACTTCTGGGCCCTAGCTAACACTGTCTTAGCTGGCCGCCTGCCCTGTTCTCAGGCTGGAGCCCGGGTTCCGACTCTCACCCTGGCCTGGGGGGTTGGCCTGTGGAGGGAACAACGGTGTGGTGGAGCGCACTGTCAGCCCATGGGCTCACCACTTTTCCGTGGGACTGATCAGGAGTCCACTGCACGTGGAGCATGCTGCCAGTTGTCACCCTGGTGAGTACAGGGCTCGGCCAGGTCCCTGCTACACTCCCTTCTTCCAGAAAGAGTACTTCATGGGGATGGATGTCAAAAGGTCAGGGATTAGGGGCGGGACTACTGATCTCAGAATGGTGACAATGGGTGGGGCACTCATTAAGGGCCCGGGCCTAGGAGTTTAACAAGGGGTGTATCCTTGTGGCCTTTGACAGCTCATCAAAACTTGTTAAGTGTCCCTCCAGTCGAAATAATTGCCAGCCTTGCTCTAGGAGCTATATCTATTGCTAGTAGTTATCAGAAACTATTTCTTGCCCTCAACGTGGGGCTCAGTAATTTGAGTTCATCTCAGTTGCCTTGATGCATGTGGAATATAAGAGACTCTTTATCCTCCCTTCCACTTCCTTTGATCTTTGGGGCAGCCAAGGGCTGGTTATGGGGCCATATCCAGTAGGTAGTTTCCTGTGGTCAAAGGCGTAATTAGGGCTGTGTGAAATTTTGGCAGTCGTTTCGTTTCAGAGGTGTTTCGGCGCCCGAAACATGGAATCCAAATCGAAATGGAAGGCTCCAAAACAGCTCCAAATTGAATTCAGAAGGCTCCAAAACTTTTCAAAAGTGTTTTGGGAAGTTTCAGAGCCAGGCTTGCAGGGAAACAAAAACTAAGAGGGAGGTGGAAACGAACTGCTTTGATATTGACATCTAGCTCCTGGTTCGATTTCCCCCAGCTTTCTGATCATTTCCCCAGCTCTTCCCAGGGGGCACAGGCCCCTGATCTGTGCTGGGGGTTTAATCAGGCTGCCACTGCAGGCTGGGGCCAGCGGCAGCTGCTTGGCGTAAACTGTGCCGAGTACCAGAAAGACTATGGTGCTGCTGCAACCCGGCAGACAGATCTGGGGGCATAGAACCAGGGGCTGGGCAATCCCTACTGCGCGACCTGGTTCCACAGGGAGCAGAGATCTGTGCTGGGGTCTGCTTGCCGCTGCTGCCTGCCCCATGCAGCCCCATGTCACCGGGACACCGTGGGGTGGGCAGTGGTGATGAGGAGACCCCCGGTGCAGATCTTTGCTCCTTGCGGAGTTGAGTCGTGCGGCAGAGACCAGGGTTGCTTGCGGCTCTGTGCTGCTTCCCTGCCCCGCGACCCAGCGTGACGGGGATCAGAGATTCGCACAGGGGCCTCCCTGCCTGCACAAAGGGCAGTGGCCCTCCCCTGGATGAGCTGCCCATGGTCCTGTCCTGCTCCCTGCTGGGGCCCTGCAGCCCCAAGCCCTGCCCAGCTGGGTAAGGCTGCGCAAAGCTTGCAGCCTGTTTGAAACAGATTCATAGATGTTAGGGTTGGAAGGGACCCCAATAGATCATCGAGTCTGACCCCCTGCATAGGCAGGAAAGAGGGCTGGGTCTAGATGACCCCAGCTAGATGCCTATCTAACCTCCTCTTGAAGACCCCCAGGGTAGGGGAGAGCACCACCTCCCTTGGGAGCCCGTTCCAGACCTTGGGAGCCCGTTCCAGAAGATTCGGCGAAAATGAAACAGGACAGTGATCTGAAACACCAAAATGAATCGCCGTCCTCCGAAATGGCTGAATCCGAAACTGAAGTGAAACACAGCCGTTTTGCGGAGCCCTAGAAATTAGCTGTATCTCCTCATACTACTCCCCTTTCCCCCCTTAAATGCACTGTCTGGCTTATTTTTCTTGTCTCTTCTGCTTTGAGCAGTTGATGTCTTGCAGACATCTCAAATTCAGCACGAGTAAGTTAATTAAGCTAAAACCTCTTCGAACTATCAAGGACATGTGGCACATTCTGCTAAAAATAAAAGTACTACTCTCATCTGAAACAGTTATTTCTCTCAAAATGTTATTCCGGTGACAATCAGACAATTTGTTAGTTGAACAAGCACCTACATATCAATAAGAAATTTCCATTCATATACAATTTTTAGGTATTTTATTGGGCATCCCATTGTTTGAGCTGATTAAAAGGCTCTAGCAAAACACTAATTATGGCCTGCAAAGTAGTAGTGTGCATATCTAATGGCTCCTTTAGAGATCTCTTATTGATATTTAGAATTTAATAATCTTGCATTAATCTACATGTTTGTATAAACCCGTACAGTGTGTAAAGTCCGTCATCTCAATATTACTGATCTGCCTATACAGTACTTGTAACATACATACATCAGATAAAGTGCTGTGGCTAGAGCTTGTGAACATTTAAAATCTTTCCAAGTGTGGCTTTGATAAACAATATGCAAATATGTTGCTTCTCCTTGAAGTACTGCATGAAGGTATAACTTGCTCTGGCAAAAATAAGAACTCAGTATACTTATATATTGTATTTCAGGGATATGGCTTGCAGTGTTGCAGGAATAACTTCAGATGCAAATGTTCTAACAAATGAACTGAGACTGATTGCACAAAGGTATGTCTTTGTAGTTTTACTTAAAAACTTCAGAGTAACTCAGACTTCAGTATAAATTACTTAACAAGGGAAGAGCTATTCTTTTTCACTGTGTGTATTTACTAATGTAAAAAGTATGTTCTTTAACTTCTGCCCTTGATTAAAGTTTTGTATACAGTTCTCATTTTTGTGTTTTGTAGTTATTAATTACCTCATATTAAAACATTTTAGGATATGTTTACCTACTCCATAAATATACATTTTTTTCAGTTTTGGAGGATTTGACAAATCAAACTAAGGAAGCAGAAAACTGTTTGTGCCTTTTTGAATCTTAGAATAGCGGGGTTGGAAGGGACCTTATGAGGTCATCTAGTCCAACCCTCTTGCTCAAGCTGCAGTTGTCCTTAACTAAACCATCCCAGTCAAGAGCAGGTTAGACGTGCTTTAAAATATACAAGGATGGAGATGACACATATCCCCTTTGGAATATCTTTACACCTTACAATGGTGGGAGATTAGAGAAATACCTAAAGAACATATGTCGCAATAAATAAGGAGAATACTGTCATACAAAGTCTTCTAATATAGTTGTGGCTTGTTCTAAAAAAATACTTTTTTTCCATTTTATGATCCCTTTGTGAAGTATGAAGTCGTTATATATAAAACTAGCCAATTGCCCGTCATGAATGATGGAGTGTTTCAGGGAATGTTTACATGCCCCCCACTACCTCCTGCTCACCCTTCGGAGCTGGCCATGTAAACAGTCCTGCTGCCGCCACCTCCTCTTCCAACTTTCGGCATGGCAGCTCCCTGCCTGGCTCTGCCTCCTCTCTGGAGCAACAGGGCTTCCCCCCGCTTCCCATCCTCTCTCCTCCCTGCTCCCCTGCCTTCCTCCCTCCCTGCCAGCTGTTGTTGGGGCCGGGCGGTGGGGCACTGTCACCATGACCTCCGTCCCCACTTCCCTCCCTCCCTTCCTTCCCTGCTGTCCGGCCCCAAGAACAGCTGCCACCATGACCCCCACCTTTATCTACTCCGCGCCCACCTGGGCTCTGTGCAGCCTTCTCTCCCCACCGCCTCCCCCTCCTTGCTGGCTGTTGTCAGGGCCCCCTTCCCGTTCCCCTTCCTCCCTGCCAGCTGTTTCAGGGGGTGTTGGGGATGGGCAGTGGGGGTGCTGCCACCGTGACCTTTCCCCCTCATTCTCAGGCAGGGAGGTGGGGAGAAGCCCTGCTGCTCAGGTGGCCAGGGCATGTTTGCCGCTGCCGCAAAGTTGGGCCCTTGCAGCCAATCACTGCCTGCCCTTTTGGTGGTACATGTGCAATTGGCCAAAAGCATTACAGACAGACGGACTAAGCCCTTTATTATAATGGATGTTAAGCCATATTTGTACATGTACCCCTAACTTCTGCTGTGTATGCGTTGATGACATGGAAGGATCAGGTTTATTATTCAATAATTAATTTAATCACATTCATTTTAGTAAAGCATACTTTAACATGGTGAGAAGAATGTCTGTAAGTAAGAATTTGTGGTAAAAATTCTAAATGTAGAGGCATGCTTAGTTTTAACTATTATTTTTGTAATATTTTAAGACCCCTCATTCCTCCTTAGGTAATTAATTGTCCATCCCCTTGTAATAACCCTTCTTTTACTTGGGTAGCTATCATTGGTCTCAGCAAAACATTTTATTTTTAAGAATAGAGAATTTATATTTTAATAAAAAACATTATTAACTATATCTTTCTTGTTAACAATAGGTATTTGTTGCAATATCAAGAACCAATTCCTTGTGAGCAGTTGGTAACAGCCTTGTGTGACATTAAGCAAGCTTATACACAGTTTGGAGGTAATGCCTGGAACTTTTTAGAGGCCCCTAAATGTCTTGGGAATAATTTTTATAGGGTCATTTACAATGCTTAAGTCATGTACTTGCCCTATAAACTTCTAAAGCAGCAAATGATACCTGAGAAAATGATTTGCAAGGATTAATTAACTTCTGTATGACAGAAGTAGTACAGTAATAGTAAAGGACAGATCTTAAGGTTGCTAGTATTGATATAGAGAGGTGGTTAGGCATGTTAGTCTGAAGTAAGGAAGGGTGACACCTTAGAGACTAACTAGTATCAACCTACTTCATTAGGTGCTGTGCTTTGAAGCTGTGCTACACTATGAAATCATCTGATGAAATAAGTTGTTGCCTACAAAAGTCCGTGCCTCTAAACTCATTATGTCTGTAAGGTGCCATCCTGCCCTACCCTCTAACGTAGATACAAGCATTCAGTCACTGCTCAGAAGTTAGTGGCTGAAATGTAGGACCTTGTAAATAGGGTTCCTTAAACTTTCTGGGAGTTAACCTCACCCATAGCACAAGAGGAAGATTGTTTTAGGTCTGTAGTGATCAACCCATCCAGCCCCATAAGCCAGATGAGTTGCACTGGGCTCATGCATGGGGTCGATCTGCAACCGGATAGTGCCCATGTATTTAATCAAGCCGCTGACCAACCCTGGGTGTGGTGCCATGTCTTCTGGCCTGTGGGGCTCCTGATAGGCTTAAAAGGGCAGCTCCACACCCTGGGCAGCTGCAGCAAATGAGACAATGCCAGCTGCCACCCTGCCAATGGCAATCAACTGCTGTTGCAACAATAGGTATTTTTGCACTCTTGGCCTTTCCTCAGCTTCCCTCTCCCCCCTGCTCCCTCAGCACCCACCTCAGTTATGCCACTGCAGCTTTGTACAGGTCCATACATTTAGCAGCTGGGGAGCACTGGCATTGTTAATTTGCCATGGGTCCCAGAGAGTGTTTCCTAATGCGAGAATTGTGGTGTTTTCACCTATGCTGGTAATCACTGTTTTAAATGCCAGAATCCCTAATCCAATAAATGTCCTAGCATCCAGTATATTTGTAGTGAAGATATATGGCCCGTCAAAGTACATGTCTTCTGAAACTTCTAAGATAGAAATTTCAGGATGTTTCCTAAAGGTTTGATTTTTTTTTTTAAATACTGAGCTGGTTTCTGGTCATGGAATTGAATTTCTGGTCGGGTTAAAGTGAAGTAAGTCTCCAGCTTATTTTTTTTCCTTACATCTTGGAAGAAACAAAGGAAGGATTTGCAGTGGAGCTTATCTAACGTAGCAGAAGTGCATAGATAGCTGTATGAAATCCTAGCTCACATAAGAGGATTTAACAGTTTTCTTTGATATTTTAATGTCACCCATGATAATTCTTGTTACTAAATTTGGTGTGTTAATACCCTTGTTTTTAACAGGAAAACGTCCTTTTGGTGTTTCATTGCTATACATTGGCTGGGATAAGCATTATGGATTTCAGCTTTATCAGAGTGATCCTAGTGGAAATTATGGAGGGTGGAAAGCCACATGTATTGGGAATAACAGTGCAGTAAGTTATTTTGCTTTATTTTATTAAGGAAGACATAAATGTAAATCAATGACTTGACCAGTTTATGTATTTAATAGTTAATAGATTTGATGGGCTGTGCCAGTTACACAGATGTTGCTACTACAAAGCAAACATAATTGCTGTAAAACATTTCATGTAGTAATACTGTCATTAATATTTTCTGACATCTGACAGGAAAAAAAGCTTTTTTATAGTAGTTGTTTATATACATTGTTTTACAGGCAGCAGTGTCAATGTTAAAGCAAGACTACAAAGAAGGGGAAATGACTTTGAAGTCTGCACTTGCTTTAGCCGTGAAGGTCCTAAACAAAACCATGGATGTTAGTAAACTCTCTGCAGAGAAAGGTAAACAATGTTGCTTTTCCATATCTCTAGTTCAGCTTGAAATAATTTATTTTGCTGAGAAATCCTAAATGCTTTCTGTGAAAAGACTAGCAAACTGGTTGTGGGGAAAAAAACAATTTTCTTGAGTCACAGATAAGGGTGGTGGATTCTTAGCAAATCAGCTATTAAATTGCTTCATGATTTCAATGGACAGTGGCAGGTTTTGAGGATGCAGCAATGACTTTTAAGCTTATAGACGAGCATTAGAGTATTTTGTCATATGAGAGCAATCTTACTGACTTTCCCTAGATGTGTTCACTGAAGTTAATAGGATTCTGGCCATAGGCAGAGATGTTCAAAGGAGCTGAATTCAGTACCCTTGGCTGTCAGAGCTTTTTGCTTGGCTCCCTCTGACTCCTTTTGACAGTTCTAACTAGTAATGGTAACTTTGGCTGTTGCTTTTTTCTAAAACTATCTAATGCAGTTATAAAAATGCAGGTGTCAACCATATGCTTTCTCTCTGTTTCAGTTGAAATTGCAACATTGACAAGAGAGAATGGAAAGACAGTTATAAGGGTTCTAAAGCAAAAAGAGGTGGAACAGTTGATAAAACAGCATGAGGAGGAAGAAGCAAAAGCTGAACGTGAAAAGAAGGAAAAGGAGCAAAAAGAAAAAGATAAATAGAATATGTAATTGGTCATTTTGTAGATCACCTGGGACCTGTTTCAGTAACAGATCATTTGTCTTTCCAGTGTGTGGATACCTGCAAAAACTGATGCAGTGGAGGAGTTGGGCTTTTTCCTGTTTTTGTTTTGCAGATGCTTACTGTCATACAAATCACCATGTCCATGATTTGCCATTTCTTACATTGAATTATTTCAGTTCTGCAACTTCTCTTTATTTCTTATGCTTATTTTTATTACAATAAAATTTTAAAAGTTTAATGAATATTCTTACTTCATCTGTAGCATCCAAGTACAGTGATTCTTGAGGGAATTAGTTTGGAACATGCAACTCAAAATAATAATTTTTGGCTATGTGGTAAAGAATAGAAGTTAAAAAGAAGACAGTTACAATGACTTGTGAAAAGCTTGGAGCACATTTTAGGGAGGTGCTTGTGCTTCTACAGAATTAAGTGCATGTATAGGTTATTTGTAATGTTTGGCATATTACATTCAGTAAGGAGAAGTTATGTCTACTTGACTAGTATTCTTGCAAGCAGTAGGACTATTTCTAATTTGGTTTGTAGTAAACACTTCTACTATAATCTTCCACAAAAGATATGTGCTTTGAAAGAAATACTGGCTAAAAATAGGTAAAGATCTCTCTCACAAGTCAGAAACATACTTCTGTCAAGTGACTTGTAAGGGAAAAAAATGTTAAATGTCTTTTCAAGATATGTTTGTCAAAATAGAAGAATTCTTAAATTGAGTACTTTCACACCCAGGTTGTTGAATTTCAGTGAGCAAAGATGGTGTATAGCCTTGTTTTCTTGACAGCTAGCTTGACAATGTTGTAGAAAAAGATTACATCCCTTTCTCATTAACCTTATCCATTTGCTTTGGACATTCTAAGTGCTGGACCTTGAATAACATCACAACACTCTATTGGTATTAAAAAGAGTACTGACAAGCCAGACACTTGACTATTAAAAGAAGTAAAATATTTGAACAAAAATAACTTGTCTGTATAAACTGAAGCTCAAATTTTCATGTTTGAGATATCAAATAAAGAAATACAGAAGAAACATTTGGAAACCTTACAAAAAGTGAGGATCCACAACTTCTCCTTCACAGAAGAGTTCATCTAGGGTCAGCAGAAAATACCATATATGTAACAGTCTCTTTTCTCAGTTTAAAATATCTTGGTTTTTTGAAGAACAACATTTTGTGTATGATAAACAACATCAACTCGTAAGTGGTACTGAACTGAATGCATCTTTTTGTCTTCTGCTGGATTTTAAGTCCTCATTTTTCCTCTAGATTAACACTGCATATATTGCCTTTTTCCAATGGAAATCTCATGTTTATGGGATTTAAATATGATTGGCTGAAAGAAATGGAGTCATTTAGCACTTTATTTTGTATTACCCATCCAAGAGAGCTTTGACTGATTAAAAATAAACCCCCAAACCTCTTCAGGTATTGCCAAAATTACTGTAGTCTCAACCAAAACAATTTTTTTTCATCTTGTTTCTTCAAATAAAAATGCTGTTCTATCAGGTTCTTTCAGAATCTTTAAAAATAAAAATGTAAGTGATTTGAAAAAATATCATTTATTTCATAGTACATTTGCTGCATATAAATTATAATATATATTGAATTTTTTTCAGTTTCTTTTTAGAAGGAATCTGATTAGTCGATGCCTAAATGCCAAGCTAAATTTGTGTAAACATTTAGTAGTTGAAGAATATGTATTCCACAGTGGTCTTTAAAAATCTTTTATATTTACATCCAATTAATTTAGAACCTTGGGATTATTTAATGACCTACTGCTGACCATCAATATAAGCTTAGTTGCTGAGAGAGGATAAATTTGATGCTCAGGCTAGGCTTAGATTGCAGGCACAGGGATATGTGCTTGTTCCAATCTTGTACAACCTCTACACCAATGACCTGTCACAAACCCAGTCATGGAAATCAATCTATGCTGATAACATCTGCTGTGAATTCCAGGTGCAGACTTTCTCTGAGCTAGAACATGCTGTAAACAGTGATGTCACAAAGCTGGCTGACTATTGCAAGTAGGGGTGCACTGATAAAGATTTTCTTGGCTGATACTGATAACCAATGATTAACCAACCATATCAGCTGATGCTGATCTGATAACCAATATTTAGTAATAGTGCAAAGTGTTTTAAACTATTGACATAAATCTTTTTGTTTGTTTTGCATTTATAACACGTAAACATGCCTTCTGCCTGCTCTGGCCCTCTGTGAGGAAGGCAGTGACCGCCTTATTCCCACGCATGTTGCTCCCTCACCCACAGCTCCTACCCGCAGCCCTGTTGTCCGCACAGCCCACGCTACCGTCCTGAGTGGATTGAGCAGACCCTCATGCGAACAGTGGCGCCAGGCACATTTGGAGCCCCAGGATACGCTGCTGCCTCGGTGCTGGCAGGCCCCGTGCAACCAACCTCCCATGGTTGCCAGGGAGAAGCCACTTTTGCAAAGGAGCTTGGTGGGAATGCAGTGTCCCTGGTGTAGCACCTTACCCCACCCACATGCAGCCCCGGTGCTCAGGTCCCTGTTGCGTGCTTGGTGTTGCCACGGCAGTGCATGTGAAGCAGTGTTGCCATGGCAGCAGCAGGACCTGGTAATGGTCCCTTTGTTGCTGATCGCAATGCCCTATGACTGCTCCTCAGCACCCCCTCCCCATCCCTCTACTCACCAGGACCTGTAATCTGCAGGCTCCGGCTGGCAGCGGGACACACGGACTGGACTACGCTCACCAGGGTGCTCTGGGCACATAGCTGCAGTTATCAGCTACAACAAGCAAAAAAAATCCGATAACGTTATTTCTCCTTTTATTGGTGCCAATCTGATAGCCAACCAATATATCGCTGCACCCCTAATTGCAAGACTTGGTGCCTCCAGCCAAGCATCAGTAAGACAATATCTAATGTTTTCCACCTATGCAATGCCAGTGCTGCTTGGAAGCTGAACATCTACCTGAATGGTCAGAGGCTGAGGCACAAAGCACAACCCATCTACCTGGGAGTGATGCTAGACTGGACATAGAGCTACCATGAACTTGAAAAGGACAGCAATGAAATTTAAGACATGCAACAACCTCCTTAACAAGCTGGCTGGGTCATCGTGGGGCACCAGGGCCTCAACCCTAAGGATGTGAGCTCTTGCCATCTTGTACTCTATGGCAAAGTACTGCATACCAGTCTGGAACCAGTCCACACCAAACTCATTAATGTGCAGCTACATTTGATGATGCGCATCATTTTGGGAGCTCTTTAACTGACTCCTCTACCATGGCTCCCAGTCCTGAGCAATATTGTTCCCCCTCATAGCCAATGAGAAGTTGCAACTAGCAAGCTACTGGAGTTTTACACCAATCCAAGTCTGCCGCAATACGATGATCTCTTAAATCCACCTGCTGCATGTCTACAATCATGACACCCACTGTGATCCAAACTGCCACACCAGGACCCCATGTTGGAAACCCTCTGGTGCAAGGAATGGAGGTCAACTTTACTACCAAACAAGTTCCTTATCACAGGGCTACAATCTGCCCCCCTGGCTTCAACCTGCCATGTCATCAGTGGGCCTTGCTGAATAGGTTCCAGACAAAGCAAGGTCTGTGTGCACCCAGTCTCCACCATTGGGGTTTTTGTGACAATCCAGACTGTAGCTGTGGCAAAACACATACCATGTCGCATACTGTCAATGACTGCCTGCTGCCTCAGTTCAGTGGCGGACTGCACGTGGCCACTGAGGACACTATTGCATGGCTTGGTGATTATTGCTAGGGGTGTGCAAAAAGGGTCATATTCAATTCGGATTTGGCCCAAATTGGGGACAGTGATTCGATTAGTTGATTCAGATCACTGTCCCCAATTCAATTTGGCCGAATCCAAATCTGAAGATTCGATGCTGATTCGGAGAATCAGCAATTCGGCCATAGACAGCTTTAAATGTTTTTTCTACATACCTCGAGGTAGCAGGCGCAGCTTGTGAACACTGATATTGGGGTGGATGGAGCATCCCACAGGAGCATGGGGGCCCCCCTGACACTGCTCAGCAGTGAACCCAGAAGTGCACCAGAAGTGTTTCTTGTCCACTTCTGGGTCTGCTGGTGAGTGTGCTGGGGAGCCCCTGCGCTCCTGTGGAATGCTCCATCTGCCTCAGCATTGATGAGCTGCCTGCTACCTAGAGGTATGTAGAAAAAACATTTAAAGCTGGTTCTATTTCCAAATCGCCAAATCTGTCCGTCCGAATCTCTCCGAATCAATTCAGAGGGTTCTGATTTGATTTGGAGAGATTAAAGAGTCTCCTGATTCAATTCGGATTCAGATTCGGCCACTGAATTGGACTGAATCTCTGCTGAATGGAATCGGGGACTGAAGCTTCGCACAGCCCTAATTATTACCCCCACACTGACTGGGAACTCTGGTAAAAGCTTACTCTGAACTTTGTTACCACAGTTATGCTGCCATCAGTCCCTAAATTAGCCAGTTTAAAGTTAAGCTATGCTATGTATGCATGAGATAGTCATACCTTTGCAATACAGACAACTGTTTTCCACATAAATGAAGCTATCACTTGTATGTACAGTACCAATGCTCCTGGCACAGTAAATATTTCATACAGGTTACTTTGGGAATGCTAAAAATGTGTTTATTGCATTTTTTAGGATCACTGAGGGATATAGATGCTGGAATGATGAAAGCCATATAGGTATCCAATAGGGTCCCAAAGGTGATTGCCAAAATAGAATAATAAGAAACTGAAGCAACCTGCAAAGGAAAGTAGGCATACTAGTGAATATACTAGAAATTCACCATACTGTTGACTTGTGAAGATCTATTTCAGTCATTAGCTTTGTGCACTCTATATACTCAATATAAATATACTTGGAAGGGGCACTTGTTGGGTAACTTAATGTATTTTTACAAACAAGCTATGGACTGAGACAAATAATGAAATTGTGGGGGGGGAAATAGTTACTTTGTTTAGGTTTTTCTCTGCAGACTTTTAAAGCCAAACATTCAAGTATGGTGAAGAACCAAAATGCTTAGAATGTTTTGAACACTGTATTCACAATAAGCAAAACTGTAAAACCAGAGGGAAGCTAGTTGTGATATTTTTGTCTCCGTAATTTTTTAATCTGCATTCTATTCTGGGTGGAGAGATGTAATTAAGTACATATATAATCAAATGGTGAAGAGTAATACTAGATTTTAAAAGGATCTGTTCTGTTATTTAAAATATTGGTAAGGAAATGTTTTAAATGTTGTATTAATGGCTTTTTATGGAATTTATGACCTAGACAGAGCAGTTTAATGTAATTCTGCAGAGGCTGTCTCTGCTGTTGCCATGGATAGTGCCTACAGGATGAATAACGGCCTGCAGCACTGCTAATATGCTGTTCGATAAACAGCATTCATCTAACATCTGAACTATATAGAAAAGTTGTAATAAGCTGAAGTCAATTTCTTCTTGGTTTTTGGTGATAATTTGATGAAGAATAGAAAAAAATCTATTCAATAGTAAATACATGCTGGAGAACCTTGCAGCTTTATAGTAACACCTGCCAAAGGTCTTCTCAATTTTCCCAGGGACAGAGAAAATTTGACCACGCTGAACCTAATTTAGATCTCCAAGCTTTGCAGCTTTATAGTAACACCTGCCAAAGGTCTTCTCAATTTTCCCAGGGACAGAGAAAATTTGACCACGCTGAACCTAATTTAGATCTCCAAGCTTTGCAGCTTTATAGTAACACCTGCCAAAGGTCTTCTCAATTTTCCCAGGGACAGAGAAAATTTGACCACGCTGAACCTAATTTAGATCTCCAAGCTTTGTAGAAACTTACTACTTTTAACATTATGTCTGTGTTGGTTTTGTTTAATTATCTTCCTTTCTCTCTCTCTAGCATGTGTAGAACAGGTTATGACCATAGCACGGAGAGCATAAGTACTTTGCTTCTTTAAATGTAATGGTATTTTAACACCAAAAGTTCATGTGATTCTTCATGGTAACAGACGTGTTTCAAATAAGCATTAAGGTTCTCAGCTTGAAGCATCAGTATGACTTGATGGTACTGTACAGTAAAATTTAAAACCAGGATGGTGTAGATTTCATGAGTGCATGGTAAAAATGTTTTGAGCCAGTATTCATTCTTAGCTAGTAAGTCACCTACTAGGAATGTTAATCACAACATGTATTAAATGTATTGGCAGCAAAATAGAACATGTTAAGATCAGTATATAATGAAGATACAATGCAACTCTTTACTACTTTCCCAGTAATAATTTCTAAACTATCTATGCTGGGGTAGGCAACACCCAGCATGCGTGCCAGAATGTGGCACGTGAGGCATTTTGCTTGGCACTTGCACCTCGGGAAGGGGCCAGGGCTGCACTGCCAGAACAAGGATCGGGACCTTTGTGGCTCCCCCACTGTCCACCCCTAGCACAGCAACATCTTACAACTTGAGGTTGCGGGTGTTTTTGGCACTCTGCCCAAAAACATTGCCAACCCCTGATCTATAACTGTTTCTAATTTACTTGTAAATGGCAGCAACATACCTGCAAAAAGAAGCAATACCACCTTTATCTAATAAGTATAACTCAGAGAACAAGTTCAATTTATGTTTATGGCTGCACTCTATTGGATTTACTGTTGTACCTTCAGTTTAGTTTAATATCCTGGGAAGATGACAAGAAGTGTCTTTTATGTGTTTCCCCTTGACCCAGCCAATTTTATAATGCAATGCCAATTTACTTGGCATTGGATTATGAAAGCCTATGCATTAAGAAAACCCCAAAAACTGAAAACATGTATAAAATGATATACATCTACTGAAAAAACAGTGTCCATTGTTAATATGAATTATTCATCATTCATAGAGCCTTTTGAAACTGGAGAAGTATGCATCCTGTATCATGAGCAGAAATAACAAATATTTGCCTTAAGGTAGTGACCCCAGGGATAGCAATTGTGTGTGTGATGTATAAGTAAATAGGGATAAAGGAGTCAGGCTGTTGGTGTATCTTTACATTTCTCCCCTCACCATTTGCTCAGTGTTTAAGTTAAAGTAGGAGGGGAGATATACCTGTATTTAGCTTTTATATCCTCAAGTCTGTTTCCTCCTTGTTTTTTTTTCCTGCACTGCTTCTCCCTTCTTGCCTCTTGGCATATGAGTAGGGTCCTACTTAAATCATGGTTTTGTGATTTTTGTGGAAACCATGAAGAACAGTGGTTTCCGCAATCCCTGTGAAAAATGGTATTTTCCACAATTTTGCACAGAATTGCAAAAAAAAAAAGAAAAAAGAAAAAAAAAGCTTACTGGAATACAAAGAAAGCGTGGCAATTCCTGCAGCCATTAAGCACATGGCTCAAGAAAGGCTGAGCTAGTGATGTGGACTTAATGAAGGTGCCAGTCAGGAAAGTGAAAGGGTTTCAGTACCATCTTTTAAAAAGCCAGGTGCAATGCTGCAGTCTGAAGATGATGCGTGAAAAGAAATCCAAGTAAGCTGAAGACATGTCAGCTCAGGTTCATGTAAGGCAGTTCCCTACATGCAGATGGTAGTACAGGAAACCCTTGCTATTTGCAGGTTCGGCATTCGCCGTTTCAAAAATTCATGAATGCCGAACCCACGTTTTAAATACACTTTATGCACTTACAGCAGCTCCTCGGGAGCTCTGAGCTTGCCGCTGCTGTGCTCCCACCATTGCCACCGGAGCCATGCCCCCCTCCCCCCCATCCAGCCACTGGGGGCACTGCATTCATGAACACAGTACCTTATTTGTGGATTTCACCATTCATGGGGGATACGAGAACATATGCCCTGTGAATGGCGAGGGCCTGTAAATTGTTTTGTTCATCATGCAATGTGACTCTGGATGTGTCAAGAAAAAATAGCATTGATCAGCATTTAGAGTCTAAATCACATATAAAGTGAAAGGCTACTGCAGAGGCTGAAAGGGCAAAAAATAAATTACTATGTCCTTGATCTTTAAAAGAAGTACAGAAAGCAGTTTGACAAGAGAGGCTATATTTGTGGCCTCCAACATTCCTGTGGAGAAAAATGAGAACCCTAAATGAAGGGACTACTTGAAGGGTTGTTGGTTGTAGCTGTGTTGGTCTAAGGTTCTTTGACTAGATGTGATATCTTTTATTAGAACAACTAAATAGTCAGAAAAAAGTTTTTTTGCAAGCTTTTGGGCACAAACACCCTTCATCAGACATAAAGAGACCCTGCTAATGTTATGTATTCTCCAATTCTTAAACTGACCTTTCCAGAACCACCCATCCTAGCTTTTACACAAGCACCAAACCTCACTAACCTCATCACCAGAAGCAAACTTCCTATGACCCAGACCACACCGAATGAATCCAGACCATGCCAGGACAAGAAATATAAAACCTGCCGACACATCTCTACCAGTCCCACAATAATTACATCCCACATCAGAACCAACACCATTCCTGGATCTTACAGCTGCACCTCCAGAAATGCAGTACATCTCATCCAGTTAACTAAATGCCCTGATGGAAAATATGTAGGAGAAACCAAACAACAACTGCATACCAGAATGAACGCACACCAAAAATCCATCAAAGAACAAAAATATTCAATCACCTGTGGGTGCACATTTCTCACAAAACAGCCACTCTCTCTCCAGTCGCTCAGTTCTAATCCTCAAAGGGAACTTACAAAACACCTTTCGTAGATGAGCCTATGAACTTCACTTCATAAATCTACTGGATACAAAATGGACTTAATACAGACATTGGATTTATGACACATTACAACCTGCCTGACATCTGATACCCCAGTAACCTGCCTGTAGCTGATCACTTACATTTCTTCACACAATTCCCTCCTTCCCCCTCTCCCCTCCTATCTCTACCCATTGGCTTCCTAACTTCCACACATTTGCATTTTCACAGATCTGCTTGTTATAAATTAGCTTCTTTTGTACCTTGGAGAACATATAACAGCAGCAGAGTCTCCCTGTCCCCGACGAAGGTGTTTGTGCCCAAAAGATGGCAAAGAACTTTTTTCCAATGATTTAGTTGATCTAATAAAAGATATATCTGCCCAAAGAACCTTGCTTGCCAGGACTACTTGAACAAACCTGTGCCAAATGCTGGCAGTTTCCGATGTGCAAACAAGCTTCACCAAGATTATTGCTTCACATGTTCAGTCTACAAAATCTGCATTAGCAGAATATGAATCAATCTTGACTGTAGCAGATAAAGCAAGAGATACTCAAGATAACTATGTTCTGCACACTTTACTTGTACCTAGAAGCTGGACAGACTGTGACCGGCCTGCTTTTCAAACACAGCTGGTTCACATTGTGTCTGTCAGTTTTTCTACCATGGCATGCTGTATAAAGGCTGTTGTAAACTACAGGTTAGAATTTAACAAGATTTTGGCATTTCTCTCTGATAATGCAACATATATGTGTAAAGCTTTCTTGGATGTGCTCCATGGAATGATGCCCAATGCAATTCATATCACCTGCAATGAACACATCCTTTCCTGATGTGGATAGTTTGGTTTCCTCTTTTAAAAAAGAGTTCGAATATTGTACAGGCCGTAAGCTTCACTACAGGGGGTCCATTGCCAATCAAAGTGGGATCTACATGCGACTGTGTCACTTCCACCACAGCCAGTGCTTACAAGATGGAATTTGTGGTTTAATGCAGTTTATTACCATGCAATATGAAGTACTACCAGCAATCTGTGTGCAAAGAGCTTGAAATCACACCCAGCACACAGTACATACCTAAATTACATGATCTCCTAAGATAAGGTGACATTGAAGATCAAGTTAAGTTTGTGATCCAGTTAATGGAACTTCTAATGTGGTTTGAAAGCTGACAGGCTTTGATTCACCAAGCACACAACACGCAGATGGGTTTGATAAATCGGGTCAAAGATGTACCATCACAACTTTCAGACTGTCAATGTGATAACCAATGGAGACGAGAACTATTCTAGGCAATAGCTGTGAAGTTGAATCAGTACTACTAGTACTGTCACGACCACTGTGGTTTAAACAACCATGTGCCTCCCTTTTTTAGTGCTGTTTGCATTTTTTACCCTAACCAGATATCTTGACTGAGATTTGACCCTCAGCGACTGAAATCAATCCCTGGATGGCAGAAAGAGCATGACAAGGAACATTCTGCTTACATGAACTTTGCAAAGAGTGCCAGATGCCTTTGACTGTGGTTTGGGACTCCATTTCTGATCACTTTTCACATCTCTACAACTTGGCAAAACACTGCCTTACCATTCCACCAAATTCAGTGGTTGCAGAATGTGTGATCTCAGTATATGGACAAGTGTTCAGACCGCAAAGACAAAAGATGTCAGCTGCAAATATTGGTGGATGCTGCATGCTAGTTAACAACTAATATGAACTGTTTCTATCAAGGTTAGAATTATTTAGTATTACTAAACTTTTTGTAGAATGCTAATAATACTTTATGATGATATTAGCTACAATTCAGATTGGGTATAAATTTATATTCACAAAATATTTCAATTTAGATTTAAATTTAATACTTAGATTTATAATAATGTGGACATTTATTTGTTATTTCTGCAGACTCTGCTATTTAACTATGCTGTGGTTTTTGCCTCTGGGCCAATCAGCAGCAAGGGGCAAGGCTGCCAGGGCCCCTCAGCCAATCATTGGCAAGGGGATGCTCACTGCAAAAAGACCACAAAATCTGTTCTGTGCATGGTGAACGGTCTGCGAAAATCCCTTTGTCTTGCCATGATTTAGGTAGGTCCCTATATATGAGTTACATCAACTAAGGCCTTACTCCTTTGTGCTTGTGTCTTTGGTACCTCCTTGGAAAACCACTTCATTTAGTGAAACTGCATGGACACAAGGATCTGCCCTACTGAGTGGTTTGGTCCTCTGTGCAATAGAAGCACTGACCTACACTGACCAGAGTATGGCTTAAGCCAGGGCTAGATTAACCCTTTAGTGGGCCCTTGCAAACAAACTAGTGGGCCCCTACTTAATATTGTAATTTATATTTCTTTTTCACTCAATAATTATAATATGTAAAATAAGCACTACTAGGCCCCTTCTTCACTTAGGGCCCAAGTATGTGCTTAGTTTGCCTATATGTTAATCAAGCCCTGGTTTAGGCTAAAGGGAAGGAGGATAGTTCTATGCATTAGACACTAGCTTGGGAATCTGAAGTCCTTGGTTGAAGTTCCAGCTTTGCCACAGATGTGTGCAACTTCAGTGAAGTGATTTAATTCCTTTGGGCCTCCTGGGCTGCTTGCAGACATTAAAAAAAACCCAACAAAACAACCCTGGTGCTTTACTTTAAACTTGGCACACTCCTGCGCTGAGCCCAGCACATACCCAAAAGAGGCAGCACGTTACTTGGACCCGGCTCACCTGATGTCTGTATAGATCGAGTGCG